TTTTAAGACAGGGCCTCATGTTGCCCAGGCTAGTCTTGAACTTGCTATATGGGGGTGGCTGGTCTTGAATTCCTGATTCTTCTGCCTCTACCTCTCAAGTGCTGGGATTACAGGTAGTGCCACCACACCTAGATCATGTGCATTTTTTTTATGTGTATGAGTATATTGCCTGCATGTGTATATGCACCCGTGCTATACAATGCCTGAGGAAGACAGAAGAGGGCATTGGATCCCCTGGAACTGGAGTTACAGATGGTTGTGAGTGTGTGAGTGCTGGGATATGAACCCAGGTCCTCTGCAATAGCAGTCAGTGCTCTCAACCGCTGGGCCATCTCTCTAGCCCCTCGTGTACAGTTTTTAATAGCTGAAATATCATTAAATATTAAAACTTAGCCTTGACAATTTTGTGTATAGGTCTTCAAATTTTACCCTAAAACATAAATGATGTCTACTTCCTGGGACCAAGTGCCAAGAAGTCCAGGACTACTGCCTCCTGATGCATCCTGTGTGGTCCCATCTGGAATTTAGCAGGATTGATCTACATGACCAATAGAGTATCAGAACTAATGGTATATTACTTACAAGAGTACCCTATAAAACTCACTGAGGTCTTAGTCTTGATCACAAACCTGCTGTGCTGTGGCAAGCTGGCACCTAAACCACGGCTTATGCCAACAGCCACGTATATAAGCTTGGAGATGACATTCACCAGCCCTATTTGAACCCTGATCCAGAACTACCCAGCTAAGTCCTGCCCCCAGATCCCTGACCCTCAGAAGCAATATGAAATAAAAATGTTTATTATTTAAGCTGCTGAGTTTTGGGGTGGCTTGTTATGCAGTGATAATCTGCACACACCTCCATTAAAGGTCTTCATTTTTTAAATTTTAAGATTTGTAGCTGGGTGTTTTGGTTATTGTTAGTTGTAAACATGTAACCTGTACAGTTTACCTGATTGGATCATTAAATTAGTTGAACATAGATTGTCTTTCATTTTCTAAGTGTTTGACATAATAAATGCAGCCTTTGAATTTAGGTTCTCTGTAGTTGGCTCCATATCAGAAGCACTGCTGTATGGCATATAGTCTTTAAAAGTTCGTTCACGCTCCTTTTTATTTATAGGTGAAGCCATCTATTTGTATGACTTATAATTACTGTGCAGGTCACTGTGGAATTACGATGAAGTACTTCAAGAGAAAACAGGCAGCTAACAACTATTCTCAAGCCTCACCAAATAAGCTCCTTGTCTATTACTTGTGATGCTGATGCTTATTAATTACATAGGATAATCACAGTATGGGTTTCAAAAAGTCGTGTTTTTTGGATTAGTGAACCATATATTCAAACCCAAGAGGCAGCTTCTCAGCAGAACTCAGATCAAGTTGTGAATTGTGGTCCCAGCTTCCACTCCCCCATCCCACCTCTTCCACACTGTTCTGGAAAGGAAAGGCCCATTTTTTAAAAAATATGTATTTTATTTATTATTTTTATTTTATGTGTATGAGTGTATTGCCTGCATCTGTGTAAGTGCACCCGTGTCGTGAAGTGCCCCCAGAGGTCAGAAGAAGGTGTTGGATTCCCCCAGAACTGGAGTTACGGATGGTTGTTAGCCACCATGTAGGTGCTGGGAATTGAACCCAGGTTGTCTGCAAGAGCAGTCAGTGCTCTTAACCCCTGAGTCATCTCTCCAGTCCCGGAAAGGCCCATTTTTAAAAAACTCAGTGGACTGGAGAGATGGCTCAGTGGTTTAGAGTACATTGTTGCTCTTGCAGAGGACCCTGATCTGCTTCCTAGCACCCATGCTGGGTGGCTCACAACCACCTTGTCCAGCTCCAGGGAATCCAACACCTCTGGCCTTTGAGAGAACCTGTGCATATACCAACACACAGACACACACAATTTTTAAAGAAATTTTTAAAGAACTCATTTTATTTTTTCTATTTCCTTCTTACACTGCAAAACCAATTTTAGTGCTAGTGGTCATTCCTATAGCTATCTTGACAAAACAAATTATCATTGGAGATGTGACTAGGGCCGGAACTAGGAACTATAGGTCCGTGGTAATGCATTTGCCCAGAATGCTGGAGACCCTAGGTTGAACCCCTGGTAAAGAAGGTGGAGGGAGAAAGGCAGGGAGAGAGATTATTTTTAGGCTAGGCTACTGTAAACCTCAGCACTTAGGAGGCTGAGACAGGAGAACTACTGTAAATTCAAGGCCAGCCTAGATGACACTGTGAAACCCTGTTTCACACCACCTGAAAAGAGAAAAGAAATGATCAAAATGGTATTTCAGACAAAGAGACCTTCCCTTGCCTCTTATGTCACGGCCTTTTTTCTATATGTGGGTCTGCTTTAGGAGAGTAAGAGCTACAGATAGATTCTCTCATTGAATCCTAGATTATCAATCTCAGGTTTTTACATGGGAATTGAATGACACAGATGCTTTGGTAAAAGGAAAACATTGTTTGACACCTTGCTTATAAAAAAGTAACTAACCTTTAGTTTTACTTTCATCATCATATAAACTAAGGATAGAAATCGCTAGCTCAGAAGTTGATCTTTTTCTCGATTCTAGAGATTATTTTGATTATATAGCACAGACTGACCTCAAGCTCAGGATTTTTCCTGATCTCCGCCACTCAGTGTTGGGATTATGGGCTATGTCACCATGCTAGCCCCAGGACTTCTTGTTGCCTATCTTTGAGACAGGGTCTCAGAATGTTGCTTAGATTGACCTTAAACTCAAGATCAAGATCTTTCCACTTTAACTTCGACATGTTGAGATTACAGATGTGTGCCACCATGCCTGGCCTAAAACCCAGGCCTTCTAATTCTGCTTTGAATATTTGCCAACTAATGCCAGCCAACAGAGATTTGTACATAAGGCTAAGTGTGATTCCCAGGACATAGACTTAAGCAGTTGAAGAAGACATCAGATTTTAGTATTAAAGTGCACTTATATATTAAAGAAACTAGGATTTTCATTTTTTTCTCGAAGATTCTTTTAAATTAAAGCATGAAGCTAGTTGGTGGTACATGCCTGTAGTTCTGGCATTTGAGTTGACAGGCAGGAAGTTCCAGGCCAGCCAGCACTACACAGCAAGACCTTGTCTCAATAGAAGAAAAAGATGGCTCAGGCTTGTAACTCAGCACCTCAGGGGTGGTAGCAAGAAGATCAGGAGTTCAAGGTCATCCTCAGCTACATGTTGAGTTCAAGGCCAGCCTGGACCATTTGAGACTTTCTCCAAAAACCAAAGTTAATTAGTAAAAGCATAATTTTAATATACTCCTATTTGTAAGTGAGAGTGATAAGAAAACATTACTGATGAATCTTTTTTTCAAATGGACAAATGAGCCAGGTGGGGTTGCCCACGCCTATAATCCCAGTGCTTGGACAGTTAAGTATGGAAGAAAAGGAATTCAAGGCCAGCCTGGGCTACCTGAGGCCCTGTCTCAAAAATAAAAGACAAAGGACCGTTTTCATACCTAGTTTTAACTTGAACTATACAGTACTTTGCTGTGATTTTTGTTTTTGCTAACCTCAAATTTCTAATCCTCCTGCCTTAGCCTCTCAAGTGCTGGGATTACAGCTGTGCACCACCACTCCTGTGATTTTTGAGAATTTTCTCAATCCTATCGTAACACTTCATTTTTCTATTGTAAAATATCTCAAGAAACTTCAGTGTGTGTATAGTAACTGGTTTTTTTGGTTTGTTTGTTTTTGGTTTGTTTGTTGTTTGGTTTTGGACAGGGTCTCACTATGTAGTCCTCCCTGGCCTAGAACTCACTATCTAGACTAGACTGACCTCAAATGCGTAGAAATCCATCTGTCTCTGCCTCTCAAGGGTTGGGGTCAAAAATGTGTGCCACCACGCCTGGCCCATGTAGAAACTGTTAATTCCACCCTGTTTACCTACCTATAGTATATGTGTTGCTCATATGATATAATACTTAAAGCTCTCCCTAACAGAGATAGGAAAAGAAGGATTCTTAAATATATAGTTCCAAGGGCTGGAGAGATAGCTCAGCAGTTAAGAACACTGACTGCTCTTGCAGAGGACCTGAGTTCGATTCCCAGCATCCACATGGCAGCTATGAACCGCCCTTAACTCCAGTTCCAGGGGAATCCAACACCTTCTTCTGACCTCCGTGGCATTGCACGATACAGCTGCACTCACATACATGCAGGCAATACGCTCATACACATAAAATAAAAATAA